GTGTGTGTGTGTGTGTAGGGATGCATTTGAAGAACAGGCGGAGTTCCCAGTCAGACAGTCGCAGGCAGCGGGCTTATTCTGTCGGTTTGGGCAGACGGCGCACCAGTAGAGACAGTGAAGAGATGGAGGACACCTTTAACTCTACAGGTAGAACAGACTGAATGCTACCACTGCCCATTTCTGTTGTCAAGACTTTAGGTCATCAACAATGTTTGTATCTCTCAGACAGAGATGACACTCCTGCCTCACCCTGTAGCCTTACATCCTGGGACTCTAGTAAGTATTGCTGTCGTCTCGATCGGTAAAAACATTGTAGTGTTAGTGTAGTCTCAAGGTTAGAGGCGTCTGACCAGAAAGCCAGTTCAAAACTCGAGGTGAGTATGAATGGAAGGAGATAAGCTCTGCTCTCCCTTGGCTTGATTCTAAACAGCAACCCCTGAGGTAGTTCTTAAAGGACCACTTCAATAATAAAATAAAACCAAAACTATCTGCATGGCATGTATTTTGGTTTTATTTACCCAAGTTTTGAGATGTCTGTCTCCTAAGGTGTCTGACTCTACCCCAACACAATTTTATTTTGTGGTGCTCACAGCAACATCCAGAGACACTGGATGATCCACAAAGCATGTTGTAAACCAGTTTTAAAGGGACTATTGGGATAATGTAGAAAGTAGTTCTCTTAAAAACCGTTTACAGTGAGACACAAATGAGAGAGAGATTTTGTCATGTATAGGTGAACTGAGCCTTTAAACTCAGTTATCCACATCACTTTATACCTGTACTGATGAAACAATTCTGTTTAATGTTTTATTCCATGCTGCTGTCTCAGGTGTAGGGGGCAGTGCGTACTCTGCTACAGCCCCAGCAATAACAGCCGCCTCGTGCACTCGTTCACAGCGATCTATTGAGAGCAAATCAATGGAGAGCTTCTTTGGCACCAGGTAAGACTTTTTTTGAATGTCACATTACACTGTAAAGGGGATTGACACATTCGATTGCAATTACCACATAGCATTTGTATATGTGTCTTGAAGTTCCTCTTTGTTAAAGTCTGCTTGGCATACTATGTATTTTTGAGACTGTTGCCCTTGACATATTTATTTTAACTGCTTTTTGAGTGATTTTTGGCACAGGTGTTTTGATGAGCAAGCCCTATCTGTGAGGGGTGTATATTATGTCTACATGCAAATGTATATTCTATATATATTATTTTTTATACATATTCCAGATTTCCACTGGGGAGACTCAGGTCCTCTATTTCATCTGGAAAGCAGGTTCCTCTCAAATCCCACTGTCTGTCTGCAGAGACCGAGAAACAACCTGAAACTGAAGCTCCAGACTACCTGCCCCTGGTGAGCTGTGCAGACAACTACAACGTGTATATTTATCTACACACAAACACATTTATTAATTTGTGTCTATATGGTGTCTAATTAGGTGCGTCTGCAGCTGGCATCAGGAGCTTTTCTTCTGACAGAGGTCTACTCTGACTGTGTCCAGATCCCTTTGGACCGCCTGAAGAGGGCTTCACCCTACAGCCTCCACCGCCGCAGCCTCAGCCCACCCTTCCGCTGCATATCTCCCAGTGCTCCATCTTTATCCACCTCTACTAAGCCTCCTGGTGCTCCTACTCACCACGTTACCTTTTCTCCTTCTTCCTGCTCCCTCACCAAACCAACTGCACCTCCTTTCCACCACACTCCAGACGACACTCCTCTGATGCTGGAAGCAAGGCTTCGCCGAAGACATCTGCCCGACCGAGATCCAGTCACCTCTCCCCCTGACCTTCCCAGCTCTGAGGAGGGCTCCCTGGAGCTATCTGTTGGCCCCTCTCCGAGCCAGAGCCACGGCCAGGCAGATAGCGGTCGTGGATCAGAAACGGATGTATGTGAAGGCTCTTCAGGAGAGCCAGCTGACCTCCAGGGGAGCAGCAAGTTGGCTCAAGAGGACCTAGAGGGCTCGAGCTGGGCCACAGCTGTGGCTCTAGCCTGGCTTGAGCACCGTTGTGCCGGCTACTTCATGGAGTGGGAGCTGGTGGCAGCAAAAGCAGACTTCTGGCTGCGCTGTCAGGAGCTGCCTGAGGGAGTGGACCTGGCAGGGCTAAAGGGAGCCGCCAGGCAGCTGTTCCTGCTGCTGCGCCACTGGGATGAGAACATCAAACTAAACATGCTGTGTTATAACCCCAATAATATGTGAGACAATGATCTCTGAGGAAACTGAGCCAAATCTACTGATTAGCATACTCACACCAGTGATAGTGACTCATAAGAAGCAATGCCTTTACATGGAAAAGTAAATCCTCTATTTTAACTGCAGGATACACTAATACCATAATCCAGTGCCAAGTCCATTCAATTAAGTTGCACATGAAATATTTTACTGATGTAAGACTTTATATTTATGTGAAAATACTCTTTACATGACATAGACCAAGTGGCCTTTTATTATAACTATGCTTTATGCAATCACAAGAATGCCTTGACTATCTGAATAGGCTTTTTGTAGTCTTTAAGTAGTCGATGTAGTGCATTACTTATTGCCAAATGTATAATCACAGTCAATCAGTGTTGAATGGGAATGAGTTTGATTATCAGGATGATTATTTGATAAACTAATGAGATATTACTTTAAATAATGAAATTGTTGTTGGGAAAAATAAAAACTATAGTGGAATTTAGCCACTTCTTGTAATGTGTAACAAAAACAAGGAGAAAACACAAAGAGAAGGGAAAAAAAGAGGTTAAGTGGCATCTCTGTTTAATATAAAATGTCACACTTTTGCTGCCTCAGTCTGCTTATTTTTCATATTTTTCACATTAAATCTACATTATGGGCTTATGAGTGTGGTGACCCACTCTCAACAGTGGATGAACGAATTACGTAACAAATCAGAAATGATTGTCTACAGCTTAGTTTTACACATTTATGTAAATTATATAACTACTGGAAAATAGTTTTGGCCTGGTACTGGAGAATACGGCAACTACTGTAGCAAGTGGAAATGTCATTGATGCAATTAATTTAAAGCTTTGGGAACCAAGTTCAAGTTCTGTATCACATTAATAATATTCTTCAATATACTGCCTTCTTAATACAATGTACAAGATAATTTATGCACCGGTAAATAACAGTTTTGATAATATCAGAATATCCAACAAGGGAATCGGGCAGAGTGCAGATTTAATAATGCTATAATTTGTAGAAATATAGCCTATGTAACACATTCTTTCAAAACCGCATAACATTCATAATTTCCTCCTAGCACTGTACTCCACTCTTCTTATTATGTATCTGAAAATGAAACCTGAGAATCCATATTTCCTTTCTCTTTTCATCTCTTCAACTGCAAGCCATTTCATCATGTAGGTGTCTCTCTGCACACTGCGCCCACACGTTAGCTTTCTTCACTTTTAGCAGCGATCTGAGATGAGAAGTATCAAATGGCTCCTTGTATTCACTCGTAACAGTCTACCCCAGTGACCTCCCTCTGCACTGGAGTTGTGAAGATCAAAGAGAGGAGGAAGATGGAGGCTGTTCGGCAGCTGATTAGACTAAATACGACGCCGGTCCGATCAGGCTGTGGCTCACTGGCGTTTGTCTTTGGCGGGTGTGTCTACTTGGGTTTCTGCTGGGGCTGAAGGCAGGGGCGGAGCCAGCCACAGACAGAGGAGGATGATGAGGTGACAGATGTGGAGGGCGGCTGAGCTGCTGTTAGTAGAGGGGTAGGTGTTCCACGAAAGCTCAATCAGACCCAGGATCAGGACCCTGAACACATGGGGAAAATGAGACAGCATTAACGTGTGATTGAGTTATGTGAAGGGAACTTGTGGTTTAGACTCCCCCTTACCTGAGCAGGTGGGCCAGCTTCTTGACTCCCCCACTCCAGAGCAGGTACGGCAGCGTGTGGAAGTACCAGACATAGAACTGGTAGTGCAACGAACGGCTGAAGCACATGCCAATGAAGTTAGAGGTGAACAGAATCAGTACAATCTGTGATTGTCTGTTAAGGTTTGACAAAAAAGCCAGTGACTACTGGGAACATCATTCATTTATACACTCTGACATATTCAGGCAATTTCTATGTGACACCTAGCAGTAGAAGTAATAGCGTTGCTGACAATCCTAGTTAATGAGAGTTAATTCTTGTCCTTAAATGAACAATATTCAGTAGATTCAAAGGATATGATCGACAGTGTTTTTCTGAGCAGGGTTTTTTCTCTTGCTTGGATCCTTGAGGAGTTCGAAGATGCTTTCTCCTGGTCTGGTAAGAGAGAAAATAGAGAAATAAAAGTCTGTAATTCCACCTCCATGACTACAGTGTACAGTAAGCGACAGAGCACAAGTTGTTGACTCAATATTGTACATATAATATCTGTAAACCCTGCATCAGGGTCCATGAGATCAACTACTGATTGAGCCAACTACTGACTGAGCCAACGCCTGTGGTGTTGTGGAACAAAAACTGGCATGATTTGAACCCTCCGCAATTTATTCTAGCTCAACTCCAACGATAATGCCGTCAGTAACCTTGGCACAGCCAAAGTTAGTCTCACCTCTTCCAACGGCGGAGAGCGAAGAGCAGCAGGGTGAGCAGGTGGGCAGCCAGCAGGAGTAAGTGAAAGTACCGATTCAAGAAGAGCCATTCTGGCAGGAAGCGCCAGTTGACCGTCCACTTGAACATAAACTGACGGCCAAGATCAAACGCCCGGCTCAAATAGCCAAACGGATTCTCCAGGAGGAAAGGCAGACCCAGCAAAAGCTGCAATATCAAGACAAATGAATTTTAAGATTATGCTTGGCAATAGTGAACAACATTTGTGTGAACAAAGCGTATTTTAGTATGCCAGTAAAACTGTTCCTGGTTTATAGGGAATATTTTACCTGTATGGCCGCACACAGAGAAAGTCTGGGGATTGTCCTGATTAGACCAAACTCAGACAGGAGGAGGAGTAGCAGCCCGGGAGCAAAAAGCAGTACATTCATTTTCACAGACACTGCTAAACTGTCAGAAAGAGAGAAAGATTGAGTTGTAATTTTACATGGCATGGTGAATTTGGTACAAAGATTCTCAAAGAAACATATGCCACCTGATACATATTCCTCTTGGTCAACACAAAAAGCCATCACATTAAAAGCTGCACTGATCTGTTCAGGAGTCCACACTTGCCTGTAAATGCCACAGCCCAGGGTCCAGTATCCATCCATGAAGAGGTTGACAGCTGCAAACAGCAGCATCATGGCCACTGGATCATTAAAGAGACGCAGCACAAAGATGGAGTGGATCCGATAAGAAGCGCAGCACACAAAGAAGAACACGTAGGGAGGAACCTAAAAAAACAACAACAAAGAAATAAACAAATATTATGGCAATACAGGGAAATTACCCTCTATGGTGTTTTAATTAGTAATCTATTAGAAAAAGGTGTACATTATAGTAACATGTACAGTACATCTAAGTTTAACATGACCTAAAGGCATAGAGGAATACAGTCTCACATTAAGCGTGAGCATTAAAAACAAAACACAGCAGTTTAATGGTGTATCGCAGCAAATTCCACATGAATGAAGCTTTTGTCACCAACCTTTTTAGTGCGGTAGTATATCCTGAAGACGAGAAGCAGTGTGATGAGGTAGAAAACAGCAAAAAGGTACTGGCCCAGACGAATGTTCACCCCATGGTTGGTGATGTAGTAGAGAGCTGTGAAGATGTAGACAAAGCCAGCCGGATACCTGCAACAACAACGTACTCATTTATCACGGAAAACTACACCCAACTACAGGATGGAGAGAACTACATCACTATAAAGCCTTCGATACTCACACCAAGGGGCCGGTGTCTCCTTTAAGCTGGGTGTAGTCGTAGGTACCATTGATGACGCCCTCTACTTCATCCATGTAGGCTTTCCAGTCTATCTCAGTGTCTGCAGTAAAGAACATAAAACAATGATAATGAATGATGGGAAAGGTTCATTTAGTCGCTGTTGTTATTTCTATGATCAACGTTATACATTTTTCCACTGTTGTAGTTTGAATTCCTTTATCTTGTCTTATCAAAAATCTTCTATTTAGTATATGAAACCTGTGCTATATGAAACAAACTCTTTGCATTGACGAGGCTTTAATAAGCAACATCTCGGTATGATCATTAAAAATGTACCATGTATCATTTGCTCTGTCAATCTACAATTAATCTACTAATTGTTTCATTAGTTCACTAGTGCTGAATTATTGGTTAGCCTGATATATAACTGCAAATTACTTTGATAACTGATTAATATTATTGTATTTTAGTCAATTATAAAACAAAAACAAAAAAACATTCACTGCCCATCTTTGAATAGTCGCTGGTTTTAATTGTTTTACATCACTGCAAACTGAAATAGCTTTAGGTTTTAGACTTTCTCATGGTCAGTTTTCACAATTTTCTGTCATTTCAAAGAATAAACATTTAATTGATTAATCAAAAAATAATCATAAAATGATTAATTGATGAGGAAATGATCACTGATGATGTCGCAGCCCTACATTAGACAAAGAAGTAGACGATGAGATGACATTGTACAAACAATGTAAGTTACAGTATGGAAACTCTGTATAATGACAAACAAACTAAAACAAACTAATGCATAATCATAAACATATATATAAATATATATCAGCTAATAGTTATTAGCAGTCCTCTAGAAGTTTACAGTATTGTCAATAAAAACAATCTCCGTGGCTGAATCAGGTCTGAAGATAGCCGTCGCTGAAAATAATGAATGTCCTTTAACACTACAACAGAACAGACGATTGCAAGGGCAGTAAATTCCCTTTGACAGGTGGCAGTGGAAGTAAGAAAGGCTTGCTAATGCTAGCTACTTAGCGTCCAGTTACGTCCAACGAAATGACAAAACACCATAGCATGCTAACTAGCCGAGCAGCTACTTACACGCTACTTTTTGTATGACCCACACGTTGATCCCGATCTCCAAAAGCCACAGAACACAAACGACCAGTAACGTGTACTCCGTCTTGAACAACACCAAATGTTTGTCCTGCCACAGCGTCTGCAGCTTCCCCCACAGCGGGGCCGGGGCACCGGGACACTTTCTCCGCACACCTCCTGCCATGTCGGCGGCGCAGCGACGTGGAGAGAGAGGCCGCAACTGACATGCGCTGTGAGGGTTCGTCACGTGACGCAACACTTTCGTCGCCTACGTCACGTGACATGGCGACGCCGACGATGTCAACTTGAGAGATTTCTTTTTCTGCCAGGTCAAACAAAAACCCGTTTTTTTTATTATCCTTACTCGCCTGTTGGGACGCATGTGCTCCTTTGCATGAGTTGTTGTTTCTCATATAGGTAGCTAATGCCAAGTTGTTAAAAACAAACAACGTTTAGAGGTCACAACTTGCTCCCCGGCTGTACTAGCACCGTTAGCTGGCTAGCTGCTAACTCTAGCGAACCAATATTTAATACAGAAAATAATGTCACTAAAATACGTGAAGACAGTATTATTGATTTTAGGCTGTGGTTGCTGTTTTGCTAGGAATTCAAAGTAATGACAAGCTCGTTAAAGTTATTGCTAACGTTATGTTGTTGGTGTTAGGTGTCTCAGAGATCTCGTCTTTGTTTACGTTCACATTTTAGGTTTGTTTTTTTGCAGTTTTATCTGTATGCAGGTATCTTAACCCCCCACTTCTAAACGGCCAAGTCACCGAGTCTAATGCTAAAATAATCGACATTCTTGGAAACACCCAGACGGTTGTAAAACAACCTGTTCTCCTGGTATTTCCAGAATGCTTAAAGCCTTTGGACATATTTGTGGCGGTCCTATGTCGACCCACAGTCATGTTTTGAATGTCAACACTAAGAAGTTACACGTTAAACAGCTGACAGTTCATAAATGAAAGCAGTAAACTCAGGCAAGTACCACAGTGCTGTAAACATGTACATGTATCACTTTCCTTTATTTATTCATAGCATGACATTACTCTTATTGTTTACATCTTGCAGTCTGTGATGTCATTGCTCATGTTTCTTGACAACAGTGAAACTGGATGATGCATATTCCTCACAAGATAACCTTATATGTGTTATTTTACTGACTTAAATTTGGGTTAACAATGATCAAATGAAAGCATTATGAAGCGCTGTACATTTGCATTGAATCATACTCTTTAAACACACACAGCAACATGCACGTTGTTGTTGTCCTCATACAAATGAAAGGATACTTATATTTATCATTTTTGCAAATGACTAATGCAATATTTATGGAATCAAGACATTGAAGGAGCCTGTATCACAATATCTTGTATTATTTTTATTACATACCTCAGTTCAATCAATACTAAATGCCTTTTACTGTAAATATATCATAGACTATCTCAGTAAACGATGAGTCTTGTACACGTGTGTTTATAGTGAAACAATTTATTAACCTTATTACATTTTATATGTTTGTGCAGGTCTGCAGTGACAGGACAACCAGAGGGAATGGATGGATTTCCTGTGAAAGTTACAGAGGCGGTGTGTCTTGGGGCCAGCCTTACCCTATCAGGCCTCTTCTACTATCTCTATAAAAAGACCCGGACGACAGTACATAAACTTGATGTTAGTTGTGGATCGTGTGTAATGAACATCATTTTAACTTTTCATCACAGTTTAGATTTATTTTTTTTATTTGTCTAAGCTATAGAAAGGAAGGGGATTAGTTGTGACACCATGTAAAAAAAAAAAGTAAAAAAAACAACAACATACACATACTTCCTAAACCCTCTTTAGAAAGATCTACACTTTGTGCTTTGTAAAACACCTCGTCACAAGTTGCATATTATATTTTATTTTATTGGAACCTGTGCAATATGTGACAGTTTTTGCGGTGCACTGTGCCGTGTCTGCTACAGTATGTATACTTCACATACAAACAGTGTGTGTCTTGTGTTGTCAGGATGCTCCACACTTCACCATAGACGGCAAACTCAAAGACATTTTGAAAGTTACTCCAGGAGCATGTCTACAGTATGCTGTCATCGAAGGTAATAAGGCTTTCACTGTTTCTGATGCAGACAAGAGCACATGGCATTTTTTTCCCACTAAAAATACATCTACCATCTTTGTCTCTTATTCTCTGCTTTATGTGTATATACACTGCAGGTGCTGTGCAACCAGCGGGCGAGCCTCTGATGAGTCACTTTCAAAAAGAAGTTGTCGGAGTGTTGCAGAAATTCATGTTGAAAGAACACAGGCTGGTGTGGAACAGCCTTTCACGCTCTTGGTGAGAACGTTTAATCAATTAACAGAATACAGGGGCAAGCAATTTATTATTTACCATGTGTGATTTATGTGACAGAAGACGAGAAGAGAGAAGAGTATGACATACAACAAAGTTTCCCATTTGGAGTTGAACCAGGGATGTTCCTTTTATGCTGTCTAAGCCTTAAAGAGTACATAGGAAGGAGGAAAAACACAGCTGCACTGGCCACTATGGGCTGAAATATACAATATAATATAATCTGATTAAAAAAAAACACTGTTTTATTCCCATTTTATACAATGTGGTGTTGACTAAGAAGACCTGTGATGTTCCTCCCTCCGCCTGTTGCAGGACGGACAGTGAACGAGTCATGCACCAAAGAGTGAATGCAGTGCCCTTTGTGTTAGTGGGATCAGATGAGACCACAGTGAAAGTCCTGTGCCCACTGCAGGCCTCCGGAGAACACATGGAGATCACCCACGAGAAGTTCCACCAGGTCAATTATGGCTTGGGTGACATCGTAGGACAATACCTGAGTGGGGAGAAGCTTAAAGGGCAACTGGAGACCGAGGAAATGCTCAAAGTCAGTTGTTAGATCAGATACTAACATTGTTAACGGCAATAAGTCAGTAATTCATTCATATTCTTTTGACAATGTATAAATATTTCTTTGCCAACCATGAGAGGAAATATTGACAAAAGTGATCTTAATAACACATTTCACAAATATTCCTCTCTTTTTCCAGGTGGGCACAGCTCTTACAGGCGTCGGTGAGTTGATACTGGACACAGACGGCACCCTGTGTCTTCGACCGCCTTCTAATGGTTCACAGTACTTCTTGAGCAGTGCGGACTTTGACACCCTGCGAGGAGAGCAAGAGAGCACGGCTGTTTGTTGGAAGGTGCTGGCCATTGCCTCTGCAGTGGTGGGGGCAGCGGTCCTCCTCTGGGTCGGTCGACGGTACTACTACCGACTAAAAGTTCGCTGGGAGCAGGAGCAGGAGAGGAGAGAATTCGAGAGACTCCAAGATGAAACCCCAAGAACGCGCACTTCAGTAATGGGCTCTGAGGCCTCTGAGGACGGGGTCGAGGAGAACGTAGAGAATGCCTGTGTTATTTGCCTCTATCGGCCACGTAACTGTATTCTGTTGGACTGTGGACATGTGTGCTGCTGCCACAGCTGCTACCAGGCCCTTCCACACCGCCGGTGCCCCATATGTAGACAGCAGATCAGCAGAGTGGTCCCTCTCTACCATGTCTGAAGCACCTGTGTGACCGTATGACCTCAGTGGAACTTAATCACCATACAAACTGCACCAGCTTTATACCTCACAGGTCTAAGCTGCTGCACAACGGTAACACTTTGATAATCATGTTACTGTAAAGAATAAAGACGTTTTTTGAAGGACATACTGTATGTATTAATAAAATGTTAATTTAAGTAAAGTGTGCACATGCTCTGTTCACTACAGAGTTTCAGTGAGGTCATTTTAGTTTAGTTGTACATAGGAATACCAGAAAATTAAGAAATTGGAAAAAAGGGTAAACTTATGCAATAGAAATGTTTATTTTCCTACATGTTTGTTCTGTGCCTTAATTTGGTAATTTATATGGCTGCTGCTAAGAGTGATTGTAGTGTTTGAATCTGAATAATTTAAGTCTGGTCATAAGGAGCTAACTTTTTGTTTCAACCACTTTCAGTTACATATCACATGAGTCACTGGAGGTTAGTGAAATAAAGATACATTTAGTGCCAAGATGAAGCTTCAGTGTGGAATTAATGCACTAGAGACCGGTGAGTGTGTATAATGTTTGTTAAAAAAGTAAATAAAGCTTTTGAGCCATTTTTGTTGTGTATTTTGCTTACTCTCAGTATCACCATGGAGAAGTGGGGCTAAATTGCTCAGCCACTTTTCAAATTTGTTTTAGAAATAGAGAGGTAAATACAACTTTAAGTTGTTGTTTAATACTGCATTATGCTCATGTCTGAATGTATAGATCTTGTATGATTTTCAAGAGTTGGTGTTCTGCCTGCCTGCGTCCCTGAATGATCCACAGACATCTGAACAGCTGGTACGTCAAATGGCTGCTGCTCCCCTTAAACATTAGAAAATTTGTTCATGTCTGAATAGATACACGTGTTTCCCAGGACTCTCAAGATGATATCAATTTATGATGTTTTTTTTCTATTTTTCCATAGGCACAAATGCTTGTTGACAGCACCTGGTGTCTGAAAAGACCTGGGTGTAGTGAGTCATCAAGCCTACTATTTTTGTCATCTTTAACAAGCAGTGAGAAAATGTGGAGATAGGGCGGATAGATGAAAAGCAACCTACGGATTTTTTTTTTCTCAGCAGTAGCACAGAAAGGTAAAAACTAATAGGCGTGTGTATGTGTGTGAGGGAGGGGGGGTGTAGTGGGGCAGTACAAGGTGAAGAGAGGGGCATCAGCCCTGAGTGGGGGGTGAAAAGGGAGCAGGTGGGAGACACAGGACCCTATAAATCTTCCTCAGCGGTCATAAGGGTTCACTTGGACAAATTCTTCATGAGCTCTCTCAGCAGAATAGCAGCTGTGGTTCTCGGGGAACAGACTATTACTGTATCATTCAAAGACCTCTGAGGACCTTGTGGAAAAATAACTGTGGCATTTGATTTGTTCGTTCCAGTTTCACTGAATAATTGAGTAAAAAAATAAAACAGAAGAAGATTGACAGGAATAATCTTATATGGCCCTGGAGAGAGTGAATTGTATGAAAATGAGAGTAAAATCTATAAATATACTCTCTGTAATGTATTCACAGTTTATATAGAGATAAAAGCTTATTTTTCTCTCTGTCGCCACTGTCTTTGTTCATTCTCACAATTACTTTAGGCCTAATTTAGGCTTATTTCACCATATCTGACTTATGATGAAAGATACAACCACTAGGGGTCCATGTTTCTTCACTTTGGGTATTGAACTGTACTGCTGACAGTGAGGGAAGACAGTGATTCCAGGGGATGGTTTCCAAGTCACATGCAATTAATCTATGCAGTGATATCCTGTTAAATCCCTTGTGATAGCTGACAGACAATTTAGTTGATATGATTATTCTCTAATTGACTGTGCTTCATGGTGCAGACCCTGATTTGTGATGATGAGTGCAGACAGTGGTGGTAAAGTCAGGTAAACACTTATTTATGAGGAGTACAGATTTAAAATATTTAATGGAAGCATTGGCTAATTATTATGACTTGTAATGTTGTCAAACCAACCTCATGAAGTTTTTAGGGATGTCTGTCAGTTGGTCCAACCCAGTACATTGGTCCAGACTGAAACGTATCAACTATCAGAATCAGAAATCAGAAATACTTTATTGAACCCTTAGAGGATGAATCTTAATGACTTTGGCAATCCACTGACTTTTCCTCTAGCACCCCATGAGGCTCTGTGGTTTGAGAAATGTCTCAACAATTTGGTACAGACATTCATGTCATCCTCAGGATAAATTGCCATAAGATTGCTGATCCCAAAGATCTTAAATTTGTCCAGTAGTTTGTGATTTGTGAGGAAATACCTGCAAAACTAATGACATTCCCATCTGCCTCAGCTGTTAGCATGCTAACACACTAATCTACAAAGGTTAACATAGTAAAACATAATAGGCCTACTGGCTTAACATCAGTGTGTTAGCATTGTCATTGTGAGCATGTTAGCCTATTAATGTTAGAATTTAGGTTAAAGCATTGGCATTGGCACAGCATGGCTTAGGCTCAACAGTCTTGATAAAATGATGTAGCCAGATAGTATCATCTTTTACTGAAAGTCATTTTTGTGGTACCAAATGTACAAATGTGGTATCCTGTTTGGATTTATAAATTTTTTCAGTAAATGGTGATGAATTTATTTTGTGTGTTACAGTCTTGCATCCAAAGAGTCAGCCAACCAACAGCAGATGGAGCCAAATGTTGTATTTAACAAACAATAGAGGGAAAAATGGATCTGGCATGGCTCCAAATCTGCAGGAAAAGTTTGGATAAATCTTTAAAATCCTGGCACACCATGACCTTATGTGCTTGTGTACGGTTGGAAGGGTCTTTTTGACTTTGGCATTAGCAGACACTCAGCAGACAGCAGGAGGAAAGGTAGAGATGCGGTATCTCAGGAGAGAGAGCCATCACAGCATGCTACAGTCCCGGATGCCAATTACCGCTGTCACCCATCTGCTTTGGGCATGCAGTGAAACGTGGGATAAGTGACCTACTTTGTAACAGTAGTGTGACTGCAGTGCTTTTCCCCTCATCAACAAACCAAGCGCTCCGTCCCTGAGGAGGGAGGGAGACAGGGATGGTATCATAGGGAAATGCACACTGGTCAGATATATAGATCTTTCTGTTTGGCCTTTCAGTTTGAGCACTGTTTTTACAGAGCTCATTCACCTAAACGAGGATTCGGACTGTGAATCAAATGAAGGAACTGTCCAAATCTTATCTGGTAAAGGGTGTATTTCTAATCAGAAACTAAAATACAAATAGATAGATCCTAAAACACATTTACATACTTAAAGGTTTCCTGCCATGGAGAAATTTTGGTTTTATCTGCTTAGGTTTTGAGATATCAGTCTTTTCTGGGGTAATCCACTGTCAACTCTTATTGGGACCATTTCCTCAGTTGAAAGTTAAGTGACAGTGAGATTTGTGGTTGTTCAGACTTATACTTCATATTTGACTTGCACAGCCCTCCAGTATTTTGCATTCATTTATGTTTTGGCCATTTGGGTGCATTAGCTGGGAACACAACAATGACAAAGTATCGCTGTAACTATTTGAATCTATAAGTTTTAGTTACCAGTTTACACATCCAAGAAGCTTGGAAGGGACATTAGCATTTACTTGGAGTCGTGTTTCTGGTATTTTTGCTTGTTTGGTCTCCACAAACTGAGAAAAATATCTGGCTCTTCAGCTGCTAAATTCTCCTGTATGTTTGCCAGCTAGGCTCTAGCTTTGTCTGTCTGTTGTTTTGTGATGAGCAGGTAGTGTTCCAGTGAAAACAGCTGTCTGCTGCTGCTGGAAACAATGCTGATGAGAGCGGTTAGAGGGAACCAAAACAGTTAAGCTGTGGCTGTAAAAGATGGAAAAATGCTAGGAGCTACAGCCAGTGGTGGAACACATTGAGATCCTTTACTTATACTGCACTAGGAAAATACTCTTTCATAAGTTAAAATACTCCATTCAAAAAAAGGAGCTAATCATTATGCAGAAGGTTTCCTGTCAGCATTATATTATTATGTTATTGGATAATTATACTTGGTGCATTAATGTTGTGGCTGATCAAAGTGAAGCTAATTTCAACTGCTTCATATACAATACATTTGGGTAAGTAACAGTAACAATGCACCATATTTTATAAACTGATCAT